ACTAAATACTTTTTTGCCCCACTGTATGCTGAATAAACCCTTTTAGAAATGCTTTAATAGAAGAAGAATCCTTTGAAGATTATGGCCCATATTTATACTATTAACAAAGAAGTAATTTTTTAGAAACTACATAATGGGAGCTGATTTTAGAATGACATACTATTACAATTTCCCAATCAGTCAAGCAGGTTATTCAGAGTTGAGGTATATACCTGTTACTCAGAAAAGAAAGTTTCTTTTAATTAAGACTTGAAACCCTGATAACAATAAATATTCATAAATAATGTCTCCACTTAAAGGGTAAAGTTCTGGAACTTTGGAACCTTTTTACAATTTTAGTCCATATCTTATTAATATGAAGTTATATTTTATTGAGATATTGGTTTTAAATGACATAAACAGAAATCTTTTACTTATTCTTCTTAATAAAAAACATCTGAATTCACCTAAGCCTTTTAATGTATTATTTTTTGAAAGGTATTAATAAATTGTTATCATTTAACAGGTGAAGAATTCACAGGAGGAGTGCAAGAAACTGACCAACAGAATCACAACACATACACACATACATACAAGCAGACATGCAATTGATAAAAATGGCAGATATTGGTTATAATCTTGATTAGATAGTAACTGCAGTTAATTCAAAACAGTATTGGATAACCCTAAAAATATGTACAGGTGTTGCCAGTGCAGATAACATTTTAAAATATATATCCATATTTTTTTTTCTGATTTTCAGCTCTTCCTGAATGACGCAAAAGAGTATATGTACCCTTAACACCTTCAGAACCTCATCAACTGATAGTATAGCAAAAACACCAGAAGCATCCATTTATGGTGGATTAATTTAGCAATAATAAGCCTCAAATTAACCAGGTCAACCTTTTCATTCAGTGCACGACATTCCTACTTCAACCTCTCATCTCTGATATTTTTAGTTTTGGCTGTACAGATCATTTTAGCTAAGCCTAATATTTTGTCACTATAACAAGCCCTCCCAGCTGCCCGCACCATTTGTGAAAAATCATCCCAATTATCTCACAACAGGTCAGCAAAAATCATTCCTATTAATACTGATTTTACATTTTTCAGAAATGAAAGAGGAGCAATTGACGCAACGGCTTTTTGAATAAAGAAATATCTCTTGTGAGGACTCTGCAAATGAACTTTTCATTTGTGCATGTGTTCAACATATTTCGGGCTTCTCTGCTGAGACCTACCCGGCAAACTAAATTTTCCAGTTCTGTTGGCAAATTAGGCAGGGGTAATTAGCAATCACACACTGAGCTCATCCCGAGAAGCACGGATATTGCCATGATAGTAAGCTTACGAACATGAATGTGTGAAAAATATGGCTGGGTTAGTTCTAAGAAAAAGCATGCTTTAATTTCTCCAATCTTTTTGTCCAAAGATTCAGGGTCAGCTGATTACTCTCATCCAGCACATTACTAATAATTAAAGTTGATAATGATTGGTTACTCCCTCTAAGAGGGCTCGATATACTGCTAGATATTTCATTGGCCTCCAATCGTTATGTTGTATCTGCAATGGGATAGTCCAATCAAGGGTAATTTTATCCACTTTCCCTTTTAATCTGTTGGTGTACAACACATCCTTTCCATGTGTACATGGAAAGCATTCCTATTCCACATCCAATTAAAATTTAAAAGGTCATAAGACAGAAACTTCAGATCAGAGAAATTGATTTCATATTTCTCACAGCCAATTAGTCTGCGATTGATTTAGGGTTTGTATGCTTAGAGAGACTAATTATTTCCTGAACTCAGCACATAACCTGGCACCAATAAAAGTGTAAAGACAGCTTGCTCTGTCAAATGATCAGCCATGTTTGCAGAAGCTTGGGAGGCAGCTGGTTACGGGAAACTACGCTTAGAGAGCTGCTCACATGAACCAAGAAAATATTTCAGTTTCACTCCCCTGCAGAAATGGTTTGTGGCCCT